GTCGGACGCTTAACCGACTGCGCCACCCAGGCGCCCCGCAAAAATTCTTTTTTAAAAAAGAGTTTTAGAAATAAGATGATAGGGTCAATGACTTATGCCTATTGGGCGAGCCGCTTTCTCTATAGCCCCGTCTGTACCATTCACCTCTTTTCCCTTTTCCTCTTCTTCCTTGATACTTGTTGGTGAGCTCTGCTGTGTTCACGTCCTTTCAGAGAGTTTAGGGAGAATCTAGCCTTGATTGTCTCAACCTCAAGGACGTGGGTTGCTGCATCTAAATGCTGGACACCGGGGAGGCATTCAGGCTGTAGAATCTAAGACATTACAAACAAGCAAAATGTACACAAACGAAACAGAGGGAGACCAGAAGACAGCCAACTCTTAGCCTTAAGCAACAGGATGTCTCATCTCCCTAAATACCTGTTACCTCCTTTCTGTTTCTACTATACTTCTCTTCTCCCCATTTTGTCTGTGGGGCTGTGTTAGTACTTTCTGCCCATACGGATGGATGAGGCTTCGGGGCAATCGGTAGGGGCCAGTGTCATGTAAGTCTGGCCACCAGAACAGCTTGAGGTGACCTTCCCCTGGCTTGATTTGTGTTGCTGTGGATGCAGTTCATCCCACAAGGACAGCAAGGCTGATTCCAGTCTGAGGTGCACCAGAACTCATTTCCAGGCATGTTTGTCATAAAACATGGGTTGACTGAGAAACTTCTAGGTCCACAATGGCATGGTTGATGTGTGGTAGAAAGAGGGGTGCAGAGTATGCCTATGGAGATGTTTTCAAAGTATAATATGTTTACTGGAGAGGAAGATACCCAAGCAGGAATACATGGGGCATACATGACAGAATGAAGCCTTCTGGGAGGAAGTGGGCATGACTGGTGAGGTAAATTTGAGCTGGACCACTCCTTTTAGTATCGCTGCCAAGAAAAGGAGAGTGAGGGAACATCTTTCTGGAAAGAAGTTGTATGGTGTGTAACCAGACTGAAGGACTGACTCTTATGCCTTAGGACAGATGTGAGAGTGCTGGGATACTTTCTCTCTCCTTCCCTTTTGTTAATTCTATGTTGCCATTTTAACATGCTATGGATATTAGGAAAACAGGAGTGTGATACTTACCAAAGCGTGAGGGGTGCAAGAGATACTGCTTCTTAGTGCAGGTTGTAGCCATCGGCCCTGAAGACGAGGATGGTGACAGAAGCATTCTCAACCCCCTTCTTTCAAGGAAAGGAGCTCCATTTGTCCCGTCCAGGCTTTTAAGACACAGGACAGCATGAGAGGGCCCACTCTTCAGCCCCTCCGGCAGGCAGGTGGGCAGCTGGTCAATGTTCTTGTGTAAAACTTGTTAACTGACACATATGGTTTGGCACAGTGAGTGAATTAAAGCCATTTGTTACAATTTTGTCCCAGGCTCTTTATTTGTATATGTGTTATGGGGCGGGACTGGGGAGTTGGGAGACAGCCCCAGTTGGGGCCTCTACTAGACTTCACACAAAGTAAGTCTCTCGGCTGATCGTGGTGCGAGGGCACCAAAGGGGAGAAAACAGTCTTAGCTTCCTTCATGAAAGAGGACTTTGGGACAAAACTCATCCCAACAAGTTAATGTTAATTTTTTTTAAAGGTGGGGTTTTTTGATTATCAGAAAGGAGGAGTGATTCTCAGTGATGCAAAAACTGCTTGGCTCTTTGTGCAGTCTCCATGGACTCATGGCCCGCTTTTGAAAGGAAGAAAGAAGGGGCCGTGAGTAGTAACTGGAAAAGCTGGTTCACTAAAATATAAAGAAAGGTGAATTAAAAGAAGTGGGGGGAGGGATAGTGGCTAGAGAGGTACACAGGGGGCCCTGTGGGTATTGCTTACATTTTTGCGTTCGGTTTGTGAGAATCTGTCGGGTCATGTATTTGAAGATATGTGCACTTTTCTATATGATTTTTATACTTTAATAAAAACTTAGAATGCAAAAAAAGAAAACTTTGGAGAACAGGTGTATTCATTTATCAGAACTCATCAAGTGCTACGTTTAAGATTTATATAGTTCATTGGATGTAAATTTTACCTCAAAGGAGAAAGAAAGAAAGAAAGAAAGAAAGAAAGAAAGAAAGAAAGAAAAAAGGAAAGAAAAAGAATTGCAAACAAATACTGAACTCTAGTTAATGATCTGCCTGCCAAAGTCTTTTAGTTTGAAGTATACTAATATCTACAACTTACTTTGAAATGCATCCAAAAACATGAAATGGATTGATGGATCACTGGGTGTTATATGTAAGTGATGAATCACTAAATTCCATTCCTTGAAACCATGATTACACTATATGTTAACTAACTTGGATTTAAATAAAATTTTTAAAAATAGTAATAAAACTTTGAAGAAAAAAAAAGAAATGGATTGATGGATGGATAGAAAAATACTAATTTTAAAGTCTGAGTTGAGACTATATGGGTATTCACTATACAGTTCTCTCAATTTTTTTGCATATTTGAAAATGTTATATTAAAATGTTGAACAAGATAGTGTGAGGAATGGAGGAAGAATTCTCCCCATTTCTTGATGAAGATAAATGTTGGCTTCAGCCCATTGAGGACCTAAACGCGTCCACTGCAACTAGCAAGAGACAGGTATCCAGCAGAAATAGCACAACTCCTGGGAGAAGTGTTTCAGGAGATAGCAATGCCCAGTGGAGCTGGTGGCACCCAGGCAGAGATGGCTTGGTGTGAACCTGAAGAGATTCCTTTAGGAGGCTTAGGTGACAGAGACACCAGATGGTAACTAGAGCAAGAGAAGAAGAAAACGGTGGGTGATCCGAAATAGATGTCGAGACTTGTTTATAAACACATGAGAGACATAACCTGGGTTTGCACCATCATATACAACCAAGCTGTCAGTTTCTCTCTTTGGCATTTCTTTAAGTCACAAATGTTGAAAGTACTCATCATTAGAATCTAAAGCAATCTGCTGTGTTTGGCACATTAAGCTGAAGAAAAGGATTTTATACCTCTAGTCAGGGTCAAACGTTTCAACACTTTCCCAGTTACAGGAAGCATTGTATTTGTACTCAGTGAAGAAAGACTAAAAATACAGGTAAATGAAACAAAACATTTGCTTGAAGTTGGCACCTGTGTTTGTCCTTGCAGGAGCTATACTAAATAAAGACACAAAGCACTAAAATGGAAGAATGCATATTTTCTGCATCGTGCCTGTAGTTTCGGAGACATACTGCCTTAAGAATTAGCCCATATCCAGCATTTTTTTTGGTACTTGTCGTCATCGTCCTTCTTGTTTTTGTAATTGAGATGTAATTGACATATAACATTGTGTCCAGGGTTTTCTTGATTGTTGAAGAGTGATCCTGGGAGAAGGACCTTCCATTTCCTCCTTAGCATTCTAACCAACAGATACGGTCAGAACTCACGACCTCCAACATTAATGATTCTCTTTCGATCTCTTTCTAGGGTTTTACCGATATTTTGCTAGAAAGAGTCATGCATGGGGGAGCCAACATTACAGGATTCCAGATTGTCAACAATGAAAACCCTATGGTTCAGCAGTTTATTCAGCGCTGGGTGAGGCTAGATGAAAGGGAATTCCCTGAAGCCAAGAATGCACCACTAAAGGTAATGTTCCATGGCATGCAGAAACCTTAGGCCAGCTTTTCACAGCATCTCAGTGTGGCCTTTGTATATTTATGGCCTTCCTGTGACCAAGTCATCTTCGCTCAGAAAGGTTTCAAGGATGCTAAAACCAAATTGCAGGTGCTACTGCTGCATTTGAAAACTACACTTGCAAATAAAGACGCTAAGGAGAAGGAGGTCTTTTAAAACCTGGGGCTTGGGAATGTTAACTAATTTTTTAATGAATTTCATTTGTAACATGCTCATAACAATTTACAATATTACAAGAACCTGAGTTGGGCAAAGAGTGGGGGCAGTGGGAATAGGTAAAGAAGATTGATAGCCTGCAACAGAAAATTAGATTTTACATTATTTATGTGATTACTTTGTGTTAATAAGTTTCATGAATCTCAGTACACCCGAGTGAATTGGGCTGCAATACAGAGTGCATGGTGCCTATATGTATATTGAGCAGAAATGTTTTCCTGCCTGGAAAAGTATCTTTAAAAATAATTAGATTACCTATGTTGCTCATTTTCATGAAATCAAAATAAGAATATTAAAGGTAGAAAGTCATGCTTAGAGTGCACATTTTTCACATGTGTTCCCCTATGACTAGAAATCCTATTATTTAAAAATCAGGAATTAAAACAGATAAATTAGGAAAAGTTATTAGTGTAACACAGAGGATCCATCAAGGGTATGTTTTAAGTAACCATTCCCTTGGTGCATTGGTTCAAGTATGAAACTGACTTTAAATTCTTCTTTCCTTATATAGTGAAAGTATGTATGTACCATAGCTGTGGGATCCTTGTGATCAAGAACAGGAATCAAAGTACAGTTAAGGCCTTTCCCTAAAAAAGGAAAAGGGGTGAATATTTCTTTTCTCATGGTTTCAAGATACCCATCCTCACATTCTTCCTGGCAAGAATAGAATAACCGAGAACAATAGAGACATGGACCAGAGAAGAGACACATTCTGTATCACCTAGTCTGTTTCACCCTAAATGAATCACATCAGAACATAATACAAGTGGGCCCTTACTTTATACAATTGGTATGTTCTAGAAAAGTTGTGCATTAAACCTAATTTATTCATTCATTTAAGCCACTCACTAGTTAAGTGGTATTCTGTTGTTGTAGTGATTATAGCATACATGCCAGATTTTCCTAGGCAGTCCCATTTTAAAACATTCTGTCCCATGGTCAGATCAGGTGTCCTCAGATGTTTCAGCAAATATGGTCTCAATCCCTGTGATGTTAGGGTTAGCGTTTGCAGTCAGATCTTTTTTTTTTAGGATAATTATTTTATCCGGTTTTTATTGAGATATAATTGACATATAGCATTATATTAGTTTTAGGTATATAGCATAATGATTTGACATATGTATATATTGCAAAATGATCACCGCAACAACTTTAGTTACCATCCATCACCACCGTAGGTACAATTTTTTTCTTGTGATGAGAATTTTTAAAATCTGCTTCTCTTAGCAACTTTCAAAAACACAATCAGTAGGGGCACCTGGGTGGCTCAGTCGGTTGAGCGTCCTATTCTTGATTTTGGCTCAGATCACGATCCCAGGGATTTGGGATCACACCCCACATCGGGCTCCATGTTAAGTGTAGAGCCTGGTTAAGATTCTCTCTCTCTCTCTCTCTCTCTCTCTCTCTCTCTCTCTCTCTCTCTCTTTCTCTCTCTCTCTCCCTCTGCCCCTTTCCCCTTCTCATGTTCTCTCTCTTTCTCTCTTAAATTCATACATACATACATACAGGATTGTTAACTATAGTCACCATGGTGTATATTACATCCCCAGGACTTACTTCTTTTATAACTGGAAGTTTGCACCTTTGACACATTTCCCCCATCCCCTACCACCCATCACCCATCTCTGGCAACCACAAATCTGTTCTCTATTCCTATGAGTTCAGGGTGATTTTTGTTTTGTTTTTTAGATTACAGATTTAAGTGAGATCACACAGTATTTGTCTTTCTCTGTCTGACTTAATTTCACTTAGCATAACGCCCTCAAGGTCCATCCACGTTGTTACAAACGGCAGGATTTCCTTCCTTTTTTGTGGCCAAATAGTATTCCACTGCATGTACGTACCACATTTTCCTTAACCACTCATGTGTTGATGGACACGTGGGTTGTTTCCCTGTCTTGGCTCCTCTAAATAATGCTGCACTGAGCGTGGGGGCGCAGGTATCTTTTTGCAATAGTGATTTTGTTTCTTTTGGATTAATACCCACAAGAGGAATTGCTGGGTTGCACAGTGGTTCTATCTTTAATTTTTTGAGGAGCCTCCATAATGTTTTCCACAGTGGCCGCACCGTTTGCATTCCCACCAGCAGGGCAAGAGGGTTCTCTTCTCTCCACATTTTTGCCAACACTCAATATTTCCTGTCTTTTTGATAATAGCCATCATAACAGGTGTGCGGTGCTATCTCCCATGCTTTTGATTTGCATTTCCTTGATGATTCCAATTTTTTTGATATACTAAATCCACCCACCACCTTTAGGTGAGCTTACACAAATTTAGATTTTTCAGAAACTGCCTGTTCACTGCTTTTCCATCCTTAGATTTAGCGGGTAATAGGTAGAGGCAAGAAATTCATTTATTCGTTATGTGCCAGGCACTGTGTTAGCCACAAAACAACGGACAAGGGTAAAGGATGAAAAGGCTACTACAGGGTCGTTTGTGTTTGCTCAGAAGTTATAGAGGTTCTACAAAGGAGAAGAAAAACAAGCTTAGCTCTGGATTAGTCATTGATAACTCATGGTGTGTATAAAGTCCTCAGAACTTGCTGAGAAGAACCATTTAAGAGTAAAACCCTTTTTTTTTTTTTTTTTTTTTTTCAACGTTTATTTATTTTTGGGACAGAGAGAGACAGAGCATGAACGGGGGAGGGGCAGAGAGAGAGGGAGACACAGAATCGGAAACAGGCTCCAGGTTCTGAGCCATCAGCCCAGAGCCTGACGCGGGGCTCGAACTCACGGACCGCGAGATCGTGACCTGGCTGAAGTCGGACGCTTAACCGACTGCGCCACCCAGGCGCCCCAAGAGTAAAACCCTTTAAATGCTACCTCTTTCAGGCAAAACACTTAGTTTCTATTCCTTGTATATATTGACAGGCTCTACTAGGGATGAGGCCAGTCATCCCTAAGAAATGGAATATTTGAAGAGATGGTTCGACTTTCAGATTATTTTTGCCTAGTATTAGTCATGGAAACTTGTTCTATACCAATCAGACAAAAAGCCCACTTTAAAAAAAGTGACGTATAATATTTTTGATTAGGAAATAAAATTGTCTCCAGATTAAAATCCTACTGCTTAATTTATTCTATATTTTATGAATGTTTCCTTTTGGGGCTTTTTTTCTTTTTACACGCTCACACACTGGTAAGTAGAAGCTGAAAAAGCAGAAAATTAAATAGCTATTTTGGCATGGCTTGGAATTGCAGACAATTTATGCAGTCAGCTGGGAAAGAAATCACCACCGTGTTGGCTTTGTGTAGTGCTAGAGTGGACAGACACAAAGATTTTTTTTTTTTTGCATGAAAGAACACATGCCCCCTGTCACAGTCACACTTGAAGATTTGCTCCTGAAAGAAAAGTAACATGAGAAAAGTCAAAAAAGTAAATGGATAGTTGTAAAGACGACAATGTACTCGCTCCCGGGTGTATTTGGGAGAGAGAAAAACTCCTCCTGGGACATTTTGCTTCATTAAAAATATCAATAGAATTCTATATCCTCCCAGTATTTGTCACCCCCGAAAAACAGGGGCCAGCTTATTTTAAACAGATTTGCTGATTCATTTAATGAAAAGGCATCTTCCTTGTCAAATCGCAGATAATCAAATCCCCAGTATTAAGTGACTGGCCTCATCCCTAGTAGCCTATCAGTATATCCAAGGAATAGAAACGAAGTGTTCTTGCCTGAAAGAGGTAGCATCGTGAAGTATTGCCTGTGAATTGTCACCGTTATCAGATTTAAAACTCAATAACAATTGTAATTTTCTACAATCGAAAACCAGCTTTGGTTTTCTGCTCCCCCCACGAAACAAAAACTGATTTATTGCTGGCCAGAGGTCCTAGTTCGCCAGAAACATGGTCCAGACAGAAATGATTAATGTTTCCCTCCAAATTAATTTCAAGCTGTCTAACTTAGCTATTTCCATTTCCCCTAAGTAAACACCAGACCTGAATTTTCTATTACAAACAGCAATAAGCAATCTACATATGCCATCCGTTAGCTGCACATGTATTTTTTTCTCTATAAAGGACCTGGCCTTTTAGTAGTCGCTCACTCAATACAAAACAGAGGACTGAGAGCAAGGGAGAGACTCCCTTGAGCCATTCGGTCTTAAAAATCTTAACATGTGCACACACGAGGTAAGAGGCATCATTCTAGAATGAATCAAAGTCAGGCTTGCCCTGAGAGATCTCTTGATTCAAATAATGAAGAGGGTGACTTCATAGAGTACGAGGTGGAGAGTATGAAATGAAAATTCTAAGGAGCAAGGCACGTGTTGAGGGTATCGTTTGTCGTGATACCTTGTTTTCCACATATCCATTTCAGTATACATCTGCGCTGACGCACGATGCAATACTGGTCATCGCAGAAGCTTTCCGCTACCTGAGGAGGCAGCGAGTGGATGTATCCCGAAGAGGCAGTGCTGGAGACTGCTTGGCAAATCCCGCTGTGCCCTGGAGTCAAGGAATTGATATCGAGAGAGCTCTAAAAATGGTAAAGACCACGCTGGGTTATTGGGGTGGGGGTGGGGTTTTTGTGTCTTATAAAGACACAAAAAAAGTAAGACCTCAGTCTTGAAAAAAGCCATCCTAAAGGGAACAGGATCCGAGTCTAAGAAGGTCAGAGCACGCAGAAGAGGAGCACAGGCATTTATTCATCAAAATCTAGAAATCGCAAACCAGAAGCTTCTTCCTCGAAGCTTGAAACATTGTCAGTTGAGGGCAAATGAATATTTAGTTCTGTGCTACACTGCGGGTAGTAAATCAAACCCAGTACCCTCAAAACTGATGGACTGAACATGTAAACAACTTCAAACTTTCTAACCTTTCCAGGCATGTGGTGTTACTTTGGGGGGCTGGGATATTCTGTAGGATGCTCCTAACTTGAAGGTAGACATCACAAAGGACAGCGGCATCCTCTGGCTCAGCAGACAACTCATTAGCCCGGATGGACTGTGGAGCTGAGCCAGGGTGGCAGTCGTTCTGTTGCTAGAAAGAACCTTTACAACGTGCTAATCTACATGGTGAAATGCAGAAATATGATACATGTCTAGGCCTACTTAGGAAACCTTTTTTCCCGATGCCCCAGAGAAAAACCTAAAGACAAGTACAAGAAACCAGGAGACAAATAGGTCACTTGTTTTTAGTATTTACTGGTAGGCGATCATTTAAGACTTCAGGAAGTACCCTTTGAACAGATCTCATTCTTTATACCAGGAGCAGCGTCGGTCATTCATTGCAGCTTTCTGAGCAAGAGCTCTTTCCTGAATATTTCGTCTGATGCTACATGTGCCTGCATGCATTAAAATGAGCCTTCCAGAGTACAAGCGCCTCTTATTTCTACTTATGTAATTATCCCAATGTTTGGGATATCCAAAGAAACAAACTTATGGGCAATGATAAGATAATTCTGTGCCCAACCCAGTAATGAAGAATCCGTCATGGCCTCATAACGTACATCATTTTGTGTAGTTGGCTCTCCTACTGCTGCCTTAAATTTGCCAAGTTGGAAGCACTCCATCAAAAGGGGTTAGTAGCCCCTGTGTCTCTCTCCAAGAAAGAGATATGACTCATTCTCCCATCATGCAGATTTTTATGTCATTATGTCAGTTCCCTAACAAATGCCCTAAGTGTAGTTTTATGGAGGTAGCACTGCACAATTTTGAAGAGCAGTTAATTAAATTCAACCTTCATAGCAGTTACAAGATTTGTACTGTCAGGTGAAACATAATGATGACTGAAATACAAAACTCCCTCCGAGTAAATCAAAAGGAGTTTTCGTCAACCAAATCTCAAGGGGCAAGTACCAGCACCTCCAACAGACTCCCCATTCACGGCACGAACAACAAATACAAAATGGCTACCGGAATGAAGGATAAGAAATCTACCTGGCTAGGGAAAAAACCAGATTGATCACACCATTGCGCAAATAGTTTCTGCACGTCTAACTCACTTATAAAGCTCGAGTTATAAGCCTGGTAAGTAACCTTCCTCCCAGGCCCTAAGGATCAAACACTCAACCAAAGGGATGCTTTACCAATTTCTACAGGCCAACTTCTTCCTGCTGCAGCAGAGAGGCTGGAAAGTATCAACATTTTCCAGAAGCACATGTTCCCTTTGTGATAAATGCTCAGTAAAATCCCACTGTTCAGAGGGACTGCGAGGGAAGACGGTCTGAAGTACTAAAGGTTTTACTATAGTAAAAAAAATCCCATTTTATTTAATTAAAAGTGACAATGCATGTGTAAATGCCTCCCTCACTGTGACTAGCACGTAGTTGTTGCTCAATAAATCATTCTCTTCCTTCAAAGAAATCTGGTAAACATAATCACTGCCTGATAGAGGCTCCGAAGGGGCCTGTTTTAATGAATAAATAAGCATACCCCTCAGTCAGTAAATATTTATTGAGCACCAATGACTGTGTATCAGGCTCAAAGTTAGTATGCAAACATGAAATAAGGTGAGGAGAGGTCACACTTAAATTGTTAATATGTAGGCTCACCTGGGTGGCTCAGGCAGTTAAGCGTCCCACTTTAGCTCAGGTCATGAGCTCCTGGCTCATGAGTTCGAGCCCTGCATCGGGCTGTGTGCTGACAGCTTGGAGCCTGGGGCCTGCTTCAGATTCTGTGTCTCCCCCTCTCTCTGCCCCTCCCCGACTCACGCTCTCTCTCTCTCAAAAATAAATACACATTAAAGAATTGTTAATATGTAAATAAATGTACTTAAAGCCACTTGAAAATTGGGTAATCTACAGACTGTGCAAAGATCAGCCTGAGCCTAGCCTGCTGGAACATGTCACGATTCTAAAGCATTAAAGCTTGTCCCTTTGTTCAGCAAACATTTATTAAGCACCTGCTCTATTCCAGTTCCTGTACTAGCTGCTGAGAGCACAGGAAAAGAAGGTCTCTCATCTTGAGATGTTCCCAAACTAGTAAGGGAGATGGAAATACAGAGATGATTAAAATGTTATGGTTAGGTTCTCCAGAGGGTGCTATGGGAACCCAGAGGAGAAGCACCTAATAATAGACTGGAGTCGAGCAGGGGTTGGGGGGGGG